GAAATGCATGTTTTCCCAATGGAAATTGACGATTTGGGCGTCGTGGGGGCTTCCTGCGAGGCCTCCTGGAGGCGCTTTGGGGTGTCTTGGCGGCTTCTTGGGCCGTCCTGGGCCCATCTTGGGCGTGTTGGAGCGATCATTCGGAGACTCTGTGCTCTCTTGGACCTTTTTGGGGGTGTTTTGCGGGCCTCGACGGGCAGTCTTGGAGCTACAGAACGGGCGTTTTGGGCCGTTTCGGAACCCTTTTGGGCTGTCTTGGAGGCTTCTTGGGAGCCTCTTGGGCCGTCGTGGGGCGGTCTTGGGGGCCTCTTGGACTGTCGTCAACGCCGTGAAAGCCGAAAAGTCGCATATGTTAGAAATGCACGTTTTCCCATTGGAAATTGACGATTTGGGCGTCGTGGGGGCTTCCTGAGAGGCCTCCTGGAGGCGTCTTGGGGTGTCTTGGCGGCTTCTTGGGCCGTCCTAGGCCCATCTTGGGCGTGTTGGAGCGATCATTCGGAGACTCTGTGCTCTCTTGGACCTTTTTGGGGGTGTCTTGGGGGCCTCGACGGGCTGTCTTAGAGCTGCACAGCGAGCCTGGGAAGCCAGGCCCCCCCCCCGATGAGTTCGGGGGTGGGCCGGCTCCGACGAGGGGGGGGGTCCAATTGCCGGTGTGGGGTCTCGAGGGGGGGGGGCTTATGGGGGCGGGAACAGTCTCACACGCCTAGAGACCCACAAGGGGTCGGCGGATTTTCCGCGGCTGTGTGATCTGCTGCCGCACAGGGCATGCATATGTCCGTGCGGTCTCTTACTTGGGCGACCGGCCGTCCCCTGTTGCGCCGTCGCCCTCCCCCTCGACTCGCCCTCCCCGTCGCCATCCCCGCGCCCCTGCCCCGCCCCCTCTGCCCGCCCCTCTCCCTCGCAGGCCCCCCCCCCCCGTCCTCCCCGTTCCCTCCCCCATGCCCCCTCCCACTCCCATTCCCACCCCACCTCCTCCCATTCCCTTGTTCCCTTCCCCGTGCCCCCATTCCCACTCCCTCCGCCTCCCATTCCACAATGCTGCTGCTCCGCTTCGCCGCCCTTGGGCTCGAGGTTCCCGCCCGCAGGACCCAGGATGCATACCCCCGGTGGGGCTTGCGCCGAGGGGGTCGCCTGGAAGAAGCGGGGAGACGAGGCTGTGCCGCTGGCCCCTTGCTGTGAAGTGAGGGGGAGGGGATGGAGAGGAGGAGTGAGAGAGAGAGAGAGAGAGCGAGAGAGGGAGAGAGAGAGAGAGAGAGAGAGAGCGAGAAGGAGAGAGCGAGAGAGAGAGAGAGGGAGAAAGCGATAGAGAAAGGGAGAGAGAGAGAGAGAGAGAGAGAGAAAGAGCGAGAGAGAGAGAGAGAGTGAGATGGAGAGGGAGAGAGGGACAGAGCGAGAGCGCGACAAACCGAGGGATAGTGATGCTACGCAGATGTCATGCACGTGTGTATGCAAATGATGACTTTGCGTTTGTACATATCGGTACGCACATCCCGACAGAGAGAGAGAGAGAGGAGAGTCATATTATACACATATATACACAGGGAGAGACAGAGAGAGAGAGAGAGATTCAGACCCAGAGACAGCAAGAGAGAGAGAGAGAGAACAACAAACAACAAGACAACGATGCACGGAGACGTGTGTGTGTGTGGATACGTCTGTCCATTGCGAAGGCCTCACGGCTGGCGCCGCCGACCCTGAAGGGGCACGACGACGGCGACGACGGCGGCGGCGACGACGACGCTCGCGGGCCCCCGTGGGTGCCCTCGTGGGCCACGCTGGCCCGGGCCCTCCCCCTCCCTGCCCCCTCCCGGGACCGCCCGGCGATCCCCTCCTGGGGCCGCCCCTCCCGCCCGGCGGGGGAGGCCCCAGGGGCCTCACCCGCCCTCGGCTCTCCTGGTGCTCCCCCTGCTGCGGCTCCGAGAGGCTCTCTTTCTCAGTGAATCGTCGACTCCCCAGAAAATGTGGGAGAATGTGGGAAGCGGGGGGAAGACAAAAACCCCAGAAGGTATGGGAAACCCTGGGGGATCCTTTTTTATTTGCGTGTATCGATTCGTGTGTCCTGGGGCCCCTTCACGCTTGGGCCGCCTCGGTCGGAGAGGGGGGGGGGCGCCACGAGCCCCGGGCCCCCTCCCGGGTGGAGAGGGGGGGGACCCCGCCCGCGACCCTCCGCCCCCCCCGAGGGCCACCATCCTCCTCCTCCTCCTCCTCCTCCTCCTCCTCCTCCTCCTCCTCCTCCTCCTCCTCCCCTGCCCTCCTCCTCCTCCTCCTCCTCCTCCTCCTCCTCCTCCTCCTGCTCCTCCCCCCCCTCCCTGGCGCGGGAGACGACCACGGCGTGGTTTGGTTCCGGTCGGGCTGGGTCGCTGGGGGAGGAGGGCCCAGGGGAAGGGGGGGAGTGGCGGCGGCGACGCAGAGCGAGAAGCGTCTCGCACACGTCGACAGGGTCTCGGGTGGCTTGATGTCCGAGCGCATGTTTTGCACATGTGTTGCTCTGCGTAGATAAGTCGTGGGAGAGGGTGGCAGAATGACGATGATGGAGCTGCTGATGATGATGACGATGGTAATGATATGCGTGATGATGTTGTTGTTGTTGAAGGTGATGCTGATGATGCTGATGATGATGATGATGATGATGATGATGATGATGATGATGACTATGCTTATGGTGATGATGATACTGATGATGCTGCTGCTGATGATGATGATGATGCTGCTGCTCATTATGATGATGATGATGCTGATTATGCTGCTGCTGATGATGCTGGTGATGCTGCGGCTGCTGCTGATGATGATGATGACGATGCTGATGTTGCTGATGATGCTGATGATGATGATGATGATAATGATGAAGATGGTGATGATGATGATGATGACGATGATGATGATGATGACGATGATGATGATGATGACGATGATGATGATGATGATGATGATGATGATGATGATGATGATGATGATGATGATGATGATGATGATGATGATGATGATGATGATGATGATGATGATGATATTTCGAATGATGTCATTGAAGACAGTGATGACGGTGGTGGTGATGCTGAGGAGGCGGAGCGAGAGAGAAAGAGAGAGAGAGAAAAAGAAAAAGAGAGAGCACGAGGATAGGGAGGAATGAATTGGGCGCAGCCCCAAGTAGAGAAAAGTGTCCTACTGCATGGGCGCATTGCCTGGTGTTGCTTGGCATTGCTTTGCATTTCTGACGTGGCTTTCCATTGCTTGGCGTTCCTTGGCATTGCTTGGCGTTGCTTTCCATTGCTTGGCGTTCCTGGGCACTGCTTTGCACCGCCGTGGAACCCGAGGAACAAGACCAGGAAACCCGAGAATCCTGAGCAAGGAACAAGACCAGGGAACCCGAGGAACCCGAGAAAGGAGCAATACTGGGAACCAGAGGAACACGACCGGGCAACCCGAGGAAGGACGGCTAGGAACAAGACCAGGAAATTCAAGGCCATCCGAAGGAAACGAGGCTGGGGAAGCCCCGAGGACCACCCCGTAAGGAAACGCGGCCAGCGAACCCTGAGGAACGCCAGAACCAACCGCGCCCGACACCCACCAGTTCTCCACAAACAAGTGAGAACATCTTAGGCAGAGCCTGATTGGGGCCGTTGATAAAGGAATTTCGGAGGACGATGGTAATGTGACAACCAGAAACGTGGGGCAGAGGAGGAATATATGGGTGATAAAGGATAACGATGCATGCGAGAGCAGAGTGGGGATGGGTTGAGGGAAGAGGAGGACGAGGAGGAGGAGGAGAAGGAGGAGGAGGAGGAGAATGAGTGTCAGGAGAGATCAGTCAGCATCTGTAGGGTCCATAAAGGGGGAAGAGGAGAAGAAGCAGGTGGAGTAGTTGGAGGAGAAGGTGGAGGTGGTGGAAGAGGAAGAAGAGGATGTTGTGGCGCAGTATGAGATGAAGGAGGATGAGTAGGAAGAGGAGGAATGTCTCAAGAAAAGGTTGAGGAGGTCGAGCATGGTCATGATGATGACGGTGATGATGGTGCGGATGAGGATCATGATGAGGATGATGATGATGATGATGTTGTTGATGAAGAGGGTTGATGGTGATGATGACGATGCTGATGCTGATGATGTTGATGCTGATGATGACGATGATGGTTGCGACGATGCTGCTGATGATGATGATGATGTTGATGTTGTTGATTATGATGATGATGATGATGATGATGATGATGGTGATGATGGTAGTGGTGGTCGTGGTGGTTGTGATGCTGATGATGCTGCTGATGAGGATTATGATGAATCGGCTGCTGATGATGATCATGATCATGATTACGAAGATGACGATGATGACGTTGATGATGATGATGATGATGATGATGATGATGATGATGGTGCTGATAATGATTATGAAGATGGTGATGATGACGACGATGATGATGATGATGATGACGATGATGATGATGCTGATGATGATGATGATGACGATGGTGATGATGATGATGATGATGATGCTGCTGATGATGATGATAATGATGATGATGATGATGATGATGATGATGATGATGCAGCTGCTGCTGCTGCTGCTGCTGCTGCTGCTGATGATGATGAGGATGATGATGATGATGATGATGATGATGATGATGATGATGATGATGATGATGATGATGATGATGATGATGATGATGATGATGATGATGATGATGATAATGATGATGCCGCTGATGCTGCTTATGCTGATGCTGATGCTGATGATGATGGTTTTGGTGGTGGTGGTGGTGAGGAGGAGGAGGAGGAGGAGGAAGAGGAGGAGGAGGAGGAGGAGGAGGAGGAGGAGGAGAACGGCGACTATATTGTGGTGATGCTCGTGTCGTGAATTTGCAATCTGCGAGGGGTACCGCTGGGCTGCATCTCCTCCTGCGGCCCAAGGCGCCGAGGAACGGCTCGGGAGCATGCCAAGGCAGTCGTCAAGCTCGCCTCCCCTCAAGGGTGGCCTCCTCTCCCTCCTCGCCTCCCCCTTCGCGACCCGAGAGGCCTTCGATCCAGCGCAGGGCGTCGCGGCGCTATCCCCCTACATCCCGACTGCGCTCATCGATGGGTGGGGCTGGGGCAGCCGAGTGACGGTTACGAGAAAGAGCGGGTCAGTCGACCGATGAGGAGGAGGAGGGGTGCACGAGACCCGGGAGGTTCCCGGAGGTAGCTGTTCGAAGGGGCTTCCCTGGCTTTCGATCTTCTCGATGGCTCGAGGAGGGGAAGAGGAGGGACGACGGCGGAGGGAGGCGGGAAGCATAATGAGAAGTGAGGAGGATGCAGGAGGGAGGATGAACCGGGTGAGGAGGAGGGCGCGATGACGAGGGGGAAGAGGTCGAGGATGAGGAGGAGGAGGACCAGAGTAAAACCGGGATGCAGCAACGATGATTAATGTCACCCTCCCGTCCAAAAAGTCCTCCCACTGCATGTCCCTGCGCTCCTTCCTCTTCGCTACAGGACGCGCCCCCTGGAACGCCTGGCACACCATGACCCTGCTGTTCGGGCGACGGGGCCCGTCTGGACGAGGAAATGCGACTCGCCCCTTTCGAGCGACTTCTCAGGACCAGGCCCATCAAGTTGGGTCGTACGCCCAGCGACGGCCCCGCCGCGGAAGCAGGGACACCGCCCTCCTCCCGTGCGGCTGTGGCGCACTTCTGCAGAGGCGGGTCCTGCACTCTTCGGGGGGCCTTGGCCGCGCCCCCACCCCCGTCTGTGCACGGCGGGAGGGAGCCGCACTCGCGAGGCCCGGGCGCGGGAAGAGGCACGAGGCGCAGGGGGGAAGCAGGAGAGGCAGAGAGAGGGAGAGGGAAGGGAAGAGGAGAGGGAGAGAGGAGAGAGAGAGAGAGAGAGAGAGAGAGGGAGAGGAGAGGGAAGGGAAGAGGAGAGGGACAGGCCAGGAAGCGGGAAGAGGAGTGGGAGAGAGAGGGAGAGGCAAGGGGGCGGCGCCCTATCCCCCCCCCCCGGGGGGCGTGGGCTCCCCAGGGGCGGGGCATCGCCGCAGGGACTCGCGCACTCCCCCCCCCCATGGGATCCGAGCACGCTCCACGTGGCTGGGCGGCCCCCAGGCATGCCTGGCACGCATGCAGCCCGCGTGCCGCACGCCCTCGCCCGTGCTTCGCGCGCGTGCGGCCCGCGCGCTGCGCGCAGCACTGCTGCTGCTGGTCGAGCCCCCTCTCTGTTCGGCGACAGGTTCCCTGCTCCGCGCGGCTCTGGGCGGGCCGCACCCCCCCCCCCCTCCGCCACGCTTCGTGGTCGCTTCCGGGGACATCTCCGTGATGCCGTCCCCGTTATGATCCGCGGTCGCGTGCAGGAGCTGCCCGAAGCGCCTGGGCATGGCATCTGTGGGTGGGGGTTCCTTCTTCCTGCTGCTGCGATCCTTGGCCTCGACCATCACGGGGTGGTCGGAGGGGGCTCAGCTGCCCAACGACGGATAGGAGGGGCTCAGCTTCCCGACGACGGATATGCGCACCTTGGACAGCGGCACATTCCAGACACCCGCCAGCTAGCTTGACTCGTTCATCAAGCTGCCCAGCGGCTGCTCGTGCACCTCGCTCCTGCCTGCGCGCTGGCCCAGAGCCTTGGCCGACACGGCAAGGTCGACGTTGCTCAGCGGATTGGCCGCGCGGTGCACTAGCTCCTCGCCGTCTGAGCGGCCACGCTGCGCTGGTCTCTCGCCATCGCGCCGATCTGGCGGGCGGCGGCGGGAGGATCTGCGCCTGCCCGCTTATGGGCCCGGACGCTGCTGAACTGGTGAGTCGCCTCTTCCTGTCGACTGCAGCACGGGCCGATGCGCCCTCCGCCGGTGCCCCCGCCGCATCTGGAGCGCGCGTCGAGGGATGAAAACACAGTGACCACGACCAAGATGTCACGGGATCTGGAGCACGCATCGAGGGATGAAAACACGGTGACCACGACCAAGATGCCGCGGGATCTTGCCGACGCGTCCTGGTCGTGGTCCATGCCGGCCGCCCCTGGCTCTCGAGGGTGCTCCGTGCGCTGCCGCTGGCCGCGGCAGCCAAGAGCGGCACCGACGTTCTGGCGACCAGCCTTGGTCGTGGTCTTGTTCTCTCTCTCTCTCTCTCCAGCGCTGGTGCCACGGCGGCTCCGCCCCCACCCTGCTCAGGGGGTGAAGCAGTGGCGAAACGTCCCGGCTCGCCCATAGCCCCACCAAACAGTATCCTAAGAACTTCTTGTGGCTCCCACGAACTGTTCTCAGAGCATTTCTGGCTGGGACTGTCTTGTTTTAACACATCGGATTATGTTCTAAGAACAGAGCATTGTTTTTGATCTTAGAACATCTGTGGGTTCTAAGAACATTTCGGGGCATGACTATAGGAATGCCGGGGCGGCCGGTCCCTGCTCAAAGGGGGCAGCCCCCGGAGCTCCTCCACGGCGGGGCCCGCGGCGCCTGCGGGCCCCGGGGCAGCTGCCGTGTCTCTGCGGGCCCCCGCGGCGGCCGTCGCGGTGGCAGCGGCGCACGCCGAGCGGGCCCCGCGGCACCGGCCAGCACCGTGCGGCGTCGCCTTCCCTGCCCCGTCTCTCTGCTGGATCCGAACGCCATTGCCATCTTTGAGTTGGAAAGGGGGAGGGGGAGAAGGAGGGTGAGGAGGAGGAGGAGGAGGAGGAGGAGGAGGAGGAGGAGGGAGGAGGGTGAGGAGGGTGAGGAGGGGAGGAGGAGGAGGAGGAGGAGGAGCAGAAGGAGGAGTTCAAAGGAGGGGGAGGAGGTGAGGAAGAAGAAGAGGAAGAGGCAGAGGAGGAGAAGGAGGAGGAGGAGGAGGAGAGGAGGAGGAGGAGGAGCAGGAGGAGGAGCAGGAGGAGAGGGAGGAGTAGGGGGAGGAGGAGGAGGAGGAGGAGGAGGAGGAGGAGGAGGAGGAGGAGGGAGGAGGAGGAGAGGAGCAGGAGGAGGAGGAAGAAGAGGAGGAGGAGGAGGAGGAGGACGAGGAGGAGGGGAGGAGGAGGATTGCTCATGCCGGTGTCTCCTCCTCCTCCTCCTCCTCCTCCTTACCCTCCTTTTCTTGGCCTTCGTGGCCCTCCTGGCTCTCGTCGCCAGCCTCCGCTGCGGATGCGCACGGGGATCTACAGATCAGGGCGGCTCCTTGCCTGGGTGCGTGCTCGGCCTGGCAACGTTCACGATGCGCGTGCCCCGAGCACTTCGGTACACTTTGCACCTCCTATCGTTGCCAAAAGATCGCGACGGACGGTTCTTGACAGTCTTCGGCCTGCGGCGGTCCTTACTGGGCCCCAGGGCCGCCAAAAACGACTCAAGATGAACATCCCATCTCAGAGAAAGGGTCCAGACCTCCCAATGTCCACGCGAGAGAAATGTTAGAATAGTGGGGCCTCAATTGAGTCTCCTGGGGACTTGGGGTCCTCTTGGGATCCCTTTGGGGATTTTTGTTGGCCTCCGAAGCCTCCAGTGCTTATCGAACGGCTCTCTTGTGTTGTGGTATTGTTTGCGTGTAATTCTGTTCGGGCGAGTTTGATGGCGTCAGCCATGCAATTATAGTTCGATTGGGTCCTAGAGCGGAAGATCCGGGTAGCATGATAGATGAGATTGGGCAGTAGTGTGACAGTGCTGGATCGGAATATGAACATGTGGCAGTACAGGAGATACACAATCATTGGGAGCATGATGATGACTGTGAGGAGGAGGAGGAGGAGGAGCAGGAGGAGGAGGACGATAATAAAGGGTTTGAGGGAGGTTTTGAAGGATTAGAGGAAGGGCATGCGGAAGGATCACCACGAGGACAAGGCATCTCAGGATGAGGATGGCGAGGGTTAGGAGTGGGTAGGCAAAAACACATTGACCAGACAACAGGAAGAGAGAAGAGTGGATGATGATAACGATGATGTTGATGACGATGATCATGGGGAGAGGGAGGAGGAGAAGGGGGAGGAGGAAGAGAAGGAAGAGGAGGAGGATGAGGGTGGGAGGGTGGGATGATTCTGATGATGCTGATGATGCTGATGATGATGAGCTTGATCATGGTGCTGATTATGATGATGATGATGATGTCAATGGTGGGGTGATGGTGATTATGATGACTATGCTGATGATGATGGTGATGGTGCTGCTGTTGCAGTTGCTGGTACTATGTTTGATGCTGATGACGACGATGATGATGATGCTGATGATGGCGAGGATGTTGCAGGTGGTAATGATGATGATGAGGATGATGAGGATGATGAAAATGATGAGGATGATGAGGATGGTAACAATGTGGATGCTGCTGCTGTTATTGCGGATGGTGGTGGTGGTGGTAGTGATGGTGCAGATGATGACGATGATGAGGATGATAAGAATACTGCTGATGATGATGATGATGATGATGATGATGATGATGATGAGGGCGGCGAGGATGATGATAATGATGCTGATGATGATGGTGGTGTTGATGATGCTGATGCTGATGATGATGATGATGATGATGATGTTGATGTTGCTGTTGCTGCTGATGATGATGCTGTCGATGATGATGGTGCCAGGGATGATTGATATATCGATGCGGATGTTGCTGCTGGTGCTGATGATGCTGCTGCTGATGATGCGAATGCGGATGATGATGGTGTTGTCTCGACTGTTGCTGCTGCTGCTGCTGATTGTGACGCTGATGATGACGATGATGATGTTGCTGCTGCTGCTGGTGACGAGTATGAGTATGCTGCTGCTTCAGCTGCTGCTGATGATGATGCTGATGCTGATGATGATGTTGTTGATGCTGATGCTGACGATGGTGGTGCTGATGGTGATACTGATGATGTTGATGATGCTGATGATGCGGATGCTGATGATGCTGATGAGGATGATGAGGGTGATGATAATGGGGATACTGGTGATGGCTATGATCATGCTTGTGCTCACGCTGAGGGTAGGGGTGATGCCACTGCTGCTGCTGCTGATGTTGATGCTGCAGTTGGCAACCATGGGAGGAGGAGTGGGATCAGGATAATGAGGAGGGGGAAGAGGAGGAGGAGGAGGAGGAGGAGGAAGAGGAGGAGGAGAGGAGGAGGAGGAGGGGAGGAAGAGGAAGAGGAGGAGGAGGAGGAGTAGGAGGAGGGGGAGGAAGAGGAGGAGGAGGAGGATTGCGAGGATGATGAGGACGCGGGATGATGATGATGATGATGATGATGATGATGATGATGATGATGATGATGAGGATGATGATGATGATGTTGATGATGATGATGATGGCGATGATGATGAAGATGATGAGGCTGATGGTGTTGGTGATGGTAATGATGGTGATGAAGCTTATGCTGATGATGCTGATGCTGATGATGCTGATGCTGATGATGAGGATGATGGTGGTTGTGGTTGTGGCGGTGGTGGTGATGATGCTGATGATGATGATGATGATGATGCGGCTGATTCTGCTGAGGATGATGATGATGATGATGATGATGCTGATGCTGATGATGATGATGATGATGATGATGATGATGATGATGATGCGCATGCTGTTGATGATGATGATGACGACGATGATGATGCTGATGATGATGCCGATGATGGTGATGGTGGTACTGATGATTATGCTGATGATTGTTATGATGATGCTGATGTTGATGGTGCGGATGATGATCATGTTGCTGCTGATGATGATGCTGATGATGGTGATGCTAACGCTGCTGCTGATGCTGATGCTGCTGGTGATGATGATGCTGCTGATGATGATGATGCTGATGCTGTTGCTGTTGCTGCTGATGATGATGCTGATAATGTTGTTGTTGATGATGATGATGATGCTGATGCTGATGCTGATGCTGCTGCTGCTGATGCTGCTGCTGCTGCTGCTGCTGATGATGATGATGATGGTAAAGATGATGATGATGATGATGATGATGATGATGATGATGATGATGATGATGATGATGATGATGATGATGATGATGATGATGATGCTGATGATGATGATGAGATGAGGATGAGGATGAGGATGAGATGAGGATGAGGATGAGGATGAGGATGAGGATGAGGATGAGGATGATGATGAGGAGGAGGAGGAGGAGGAGGAGGAAGGAGGAGGAGGAGAAGGAGGTGGAGGAGGAGGGGGAGGAGGAGGAGGTTGACTAGGGAAGAACAGGAGGGAGGATGAGAGAGGAGCGGAGGAGGAGAGGATGGAGATGAGTCAGTGAGAGTTGCCCGGCGGAGGGTCCGCGAGGGGAGGGACTCGACGCGCTCCCCTTCGTCAGATTCTTTCTGCCAG